AAATAAAAAAAATGCTTTCTTTGAATTTAAATTTCGGTTCTATGAAAGATAATGACAAATTACTTTAAAAATTGTAAAATGTAAAATAAAAAAATGTGTCAGTAAAATAAAAAAAATGTGTTAGTAAAAAAAAACTAAGTGTAAAAAAGTAATGACTACACAGAAGCTTTTTTTCAGGTATGTGTAAGAAGAGGTGTAAGATTTTTCGTTCTAGCAAACCTGAAACGAGAATTTTATGATCAAACTATACTTCATTTCATTATAATTCAAATAAATGCGTTATGAAGTTTTTTGGTGAGTTAAGTTGAAAGTCGTGATGAACTTTCTGTTTACTAACCCAGCAAAACAATCTGAACATTAATCTTAACTTTTTTTACAATTTTTGCACCAACAAAATAAAAAAGTGTACAAAAACTAATTTCAATAAGAAGAGAAATCTTCGGCTAGATTAATGACCGAGGTAGTTGTATTTGCCAATTATACCAGAGGTCAGAGGGGCACCTCGAGGTGGTGTAATGGTTAGCAAGCTTGGCTCGCTAGAACAATTACGACTGAGTAGTGAGTTCGATCCTCACTGGGTGCCCCCTAATTTCGGCCTTGTGCCACATCTAAGCTACGCTTGGAAAATCACTATACCAGAGGTCAGAGTTCTAGAACAGTAAAGCCATGATTTCCAGAAGCTGCCAACCTTGAAAATCAGGATTCAAGCATCAACCATTTTGTTATCAGGAGCTGACATTTTTAAAAATGTGATACAGTAATCTTTGATTTTCTTTGTCTATCATTCAGTGTTAAAACTTCATTAGACTCTAGGATAATGAAATCTTGATGAGGATAAAATGCATGTGTTCAAGAATTACTTATAAATCTTTGTAAATTCAGGCACAAAAAAAAATTATTAAATTTTAATTCACTCAAATGACCTCTGAAGGTCATTGGATACAAAAAAAACATAGCCAGAAAATTTAAATGATCTAACCCACTAAAGATGTGAACTGACATCCATAACAGCAGATGATGGGTATTTCCATGATTTTTGCTCCACTTAGGGTGGATAGATAAATTATATTAGACTGGCTGCTGAAAAGTCAGATCAACACAAAGACTACATGAGATGTGGTAAATTCAATAATATTATTCAAACAGCTGCTTGATCTGTTTGCTCTAGGCATTCTTTCGTGGGGCCAGAAGTGCTTACAATCATCATAACCAACATTTATTGATGTTGTTATAAACATCTCCTTCCTAAGTTAATTTATCAATGTACTGACTTGAGTTTTGTTATCTTCTTCCCAGAGTTTCAATGCTTCGTGAAACTATTGAAATCTCTGCAACTATTTTTGCCAATTTCCCGGATTTGTCAAGTCAAATGGTTCTGGTATAGTTAATTTGAACATATTTTTTTAATAATTTTTTTGTTTCAAATTGGATCCTATTCTTCTGCTAGAAAATAATTTTCTTTTAGAAAGAATCACTCTCTGACACCATGTTCCACTTTAGGGTGGAAGGATAAATTATATGAGTGGTCACTGAAAAGTCAAATTGACACAAGATGTGGTAAACTCAACAACTTTATTCAAACTGCTGTGACAAACTGGGTCATATATCACGGAAATGTCTGGGGGAAATGGATCAGGAGAAAAGACATCAGGACCAGTCTCATTCTCCACCTATATAAATGCTGTGCTGCCTGTAGTCAACGTATTGGTCAACTGGGAATGGTGTTCAGCTCTCACTGACTCTGGGTGTTGATCTCAGTTGATCATTAGTGCAGAGCAATGTTGATTGTGGACTGAAAAGCACATAGATATGGAGACAATCTATGGTAGAATGCAGGTGTACTATGTACTAAGGACTTAATATCTGCACAGACAGTGGCAACTCAGCCAAGGTTGATGTCCTTGTGGTGCGTGATAAACCTCTCGCCTTTGACTTTCTGGATTAACCGCAGTGACTGCATTAGGTGATATCCATATCACACTAACTGGAGCCATACGGTTCTGCAGCAAAGAAACACCAACACGTGTGGTGATCCAAACAGGAAAGGATCTGGATTGCAAAACGTAAGTGGATACAGGTGTGGTACTGGCTCACTTATGTAACAGGGTGTTGAAGTACCCCATTTCAAAGGATGTTAGGGATGCTCAAGAACTCCAGACATGGGTCACCAATGGTTGGCTAATACCATACCTGAAAGAAACTGGGGCCACCCAAAGGCTTAGTGCCATTAATTATCATCATGCAGTGCAACAAAGAAAAGGTGTGTCCAGTGATGGACTATCACCAGCTAAACAAACATGTTGATGTGTTCACTGCAAATGCAGACATTTGTTCAGCCAAACTGCGAGAGTGGTGCAACAAGAGGCAAATATGGCCATACTTGATTTGCGAAGCGCATAAGTACATGTACATGAGTCACTGTGGCCATATCAAACTATGATGATCAAGGGGAAGCAGTTTTTCCTAGCATGGTTGGGATTTGGCTTCAATGTGACACCTCTAGTCAGGAAGTCCATTATTGCCACCATGTGGTCACATGCAGAGTCAATTGAGAGAGTGACATCGGCGTACATTGACGATGTGTATGTCAATGAGAGCACCATGTCTGCAGAACATGTTGGGCAAAATTGGCCCAGTATAGGCTGATGTGCAATGATCCAGAACATTTGAAGGATGGGGCATGCATGCTTGGACTGACCACGCTTCCCCGCATCTACTCTGTGGTGGATGTTGGGAAGTGTGATCCTAAATGTCCCTGATGTTATGACTCTCTGGAATGTCTTCTCACTCTACGGGAAGCTGGTGGAACATTTCCCTGTGTATGGATGGCTGCATGTGGCGGCTGGGTTCATCAAGTGGTGGGCAAATGCAGTCACAAAGGGATGTGATGACCAAGTTCACAACATCCCCTTCAAGCAGATGGTGAAGGAAACTGTAAACAGAATCCTGCCTGGGGTGACTGATGTGTAAATGGATCTGAAATCAACATGTAGGTCAATGCAAGCTCCCTAGTGACAGGAGTGGTGCTGGAAAAAGATAGAGCAACGTTGGAGAACACATGCTGACTTTGGTCAACAAGCGACACTTAATAATCAACTTGGCTGAACTGGATGCTGCAATCAAAGGCCTCAATTTGGCTCTCCAGTGACAGACAAAGAGTCTGCACATAAAAATCAATTCCTTATCTGTGTGTACCACTGGTTGTCTGACACCCTCACAGGCAAAGCTAGGGTATGTGCCAAAGCAGCAAGCAAGATGCTAGTACAAAGAATGTTGAGCACAATCTTGGAACTGGTCCAAAAATATAAGTTATCAGTGATGCTGGTTGCATTAAACCAGAACTTTGCAGACGAGATGACCCATGTATCCCAAAGGTGGCTCAATCTGGTCAAAAAGGGAGTAGAACCTGTGCACCATGAGTCCTAGTCACATAATGAAAGTACATCAATGCAGTAGGCATCCAGGAGTATGGTGTACCACATATTTTGTGAGAAGAGTTTGTCCTTCCATAACAAAGGCCATGGTAAAATCAGACATTGGGACCTGTGTAGATTGAAGAATAACAACAGGTCCTGCACCAGTTCATTGGAAAAAGGGCAGACTGTGAGTGAACAGTACTTGGTATTGGTTCGGCATGGCTATCATTCACTACAGTGACAGCCATTACCTGACACTAACAGATTGTGCTCCATCATGTTTTTCTGTGTGGTAACTGTTACACCACCAAAACTCATTGAGTATCATGCATCAGCTAGAGTCTGTGTTATGTGAGAGGGGACCACCATGTAAGATACTCCCAGACAATAACACCATGTTTCACAGCAGGGAGATTTGGGCCTTTGCCCATGGACGGGATGTGCATTTGCAATTTCGATATGTGCATGTCCTGACAGAAAATGGAACAATGGAGTGGTGTCACAGAAGTGTCAAGAGGATTACAGCCAGGCTGAAGTTTAGTGTTGAAGAGGCCACCTACTGGTACAATATAATCCCCAAAGATGACACCTCACCACTAACTGCACCCACAAATCAAGGTGGGAGACCCTGTGTGGGTAAAGGCGCCACACAACTTTTGGAAAGGAATGAATTACTGGACTTGTTAGTCCACAATCCATCTTAGTGGATGGAATGCCCTGCTATGTCAGGAACCTTCATCCTTCACTGCCTTAATGTGTGTGCAGCATTTATCCTCTCAATTTACAGCAAGATGAGGATTTGGGATTTGCTTTGGTCTACAGCTATTTCTCAAAAAGTTTACTCTATATTTAAAATTGTTTCGTTATTTTTATGATGTTAAAATATTTTTTTTTTTTTTTTTTTTTACAATGATGTGCAACCTTTACAAGGCTCAAGAGCCACTTGAGATAGAGGGTTACAGAGTAAGAGGCACAGTTTATAAGGATATTTGGGGAAAGATAATGGTTAACCCTAGACTTGAACAAGTTAAGATTGTCGTGATCAGGGAAGCATCCTCTTGGGAATCAATTCCAAAAAGCATTGGTTCGTGGGAAGAAGCTGTTTGAGTGGAACTTATATCTCACCAATAGAATATGATTGGAATAAGGTCGGTTTGCTACAAGGTGGTTTGGTTGGTCTTAGCCATGAATGTTAGAATTAGTGAAAATAAGGAATATAGTTTGTTTGAACACTTTCTAAAGAAATAGCAATAGAGCAGCGAGAGACTTGGAATGTTTGGTCTGCAAGAAAGAGATTGCATGGGGGAAAATAATTTGTCATTCACAAGGAGGAGGAGGAGACGCTTTTGGACTCTTATTGGGACTGGAAAATGAAGACTGGGGAGCTCCTGCCTATATATGGCAGCAATTTTTGGCTTGATCTCACTCTTGTAAAAGTAGAGAATGGCAGGAGGAGTCAAGTACTTACTGGAGCAGTACAAGGAATTGACCATTTTTCCAGAATCTTTTGAGATGATATCATATGTACAAGTTCCACTTTTTGCAAGAATTTTAGATCTTAGGTCATAATCAAATAGCTTATTACCATATCACAGTGACACACCAGTTCTCATTTGATCACCAAAGTTAAGCAATGTTGAGGCTAGTCAGTCTCTAGATGGGTGACCACTGGGTGAATATCAAGTGCTGTAAGCTTGGATGTACAGGTGGTGTTATGTATAATGGCTTGGAATGAGAAATCGGAAAGCTGGGCTTGAATTCCATTCAAGTTCATTACACTCACTTATGCTCAAATACCCTTGGAAAAGGTGTGAATTCATCTCTTATTCACCCAGCTATGGGTTAAATAGCAGATCAGAGAGGGTTCTATAGACATGGTTGGCAACCAGTCTACCGGAGAAAGTACTACTGCAGGAATACTTCTGCTAAGTCCATTATGAATCAAAAAGAGACATGATTGCCCAAGTGTGCATCACACATGGCATCTAATGAACGATTACATAATAAACTGTTTGGATGAGTATTCTCATCTTGATTGTTAGTGTCACTTTGAAATTATCAGGATGCCAATCTGAAGAGCAACCAGGTGCAGTAGATAAACATGAAGACTGGAGAGAAAGTCATGAGGTTTTGCGCAATTGGTATTCTCTGATGATGAAGACTAGTAGTAAGTTTATCCAAACCCTACTTATCGGTCAAATTATAGATTTCAGCTGTAATCTAATTAGATATACACAGGGCACCTTGGTTTGGTGTAATGGTTTGCAAGCTTATCTCACTAAAACAGTTATGACTGAATAGTGAGTTTGATCCTCACTGGGTGAACCATACTTTCAACTTTGTGCCACGTCTAAGCTATGCTTAGAAAATCATTTAGGGCACCTCAACCTGGTATAGAGGTTATCATGCTTGTCCCACTAAAATAATTGTGACTAAGTAGTGTGTTCAATTCTCACTGGGTGTCTCATTCTTTCGGCCTAAGCCCCGTCCCTAGCTTTAGATGCCCATTGAAAAAATATGTGAAGGCACAGGATGTTAACCTGAATATTGGAAAGAGTAAGGATCTGTGTAATCGGCACACCCTGATGATGATAACATTTTAAAAGGAAATTATGTGTGGATCAATAAGTTTATTGCCTGATAATTTACCTTAATTTTAGTTTGAAATTTTCATCTAATAAGGTTTTATCTAAGAAATTAATATTCTCCACTGAATTAAGTGCATTGACAAGGAAGGAAATTGCTGAAAAATATTTTTGTAAAATAAATGTTTTTTTTATTATGCTATGGAATTATGTAGCAGCCCAAGATTGATGAATAAAATTTTAAAAAGAAATGAATATAACAATCAAGATGAAGATACTGGTCCAAGTAGATGATGAAAAATGTTGAGAATTCCACATCTCAGAAATTCAAACAGGAATCGATCATTTTCTTTTTTCTTTTTTTTTTAATATTATGAAAATAATGTTGCGTTAACAGAAAATATAGAATTAATTATGAATATACTTTCTTGAAATCTGAGTTTGTTTCAATTAAAATTGTCTGAATATTCACATTTTATGCACATGATGAAGGAATGCTTAATGTTTGTACACACAACATGCCACTTCCAAACTACATTTATGGTGAGCAGATGTGAAATCGTCTGCATTTCAAATTTAAATGTCTATAAAATATATCAACTGACCTATGAACCTCCCTCTTTTAGTCCCTCCCCCCATAAGGGTTCCACTAAAGAGTAAGAAGTCTCAGCTCTCTAGGTGTTGATACTGTGGTTTCCAGGATGAAGTTGCTAGCTGCATAGCCAATTCTTACCGTATCCAGTGGTCCCCCATCTAAGTACTGACCTGGCTTGATATCACTTAACACTGGTGATAAAATGAAAATCAATGTTTCAGAAAGATTTGATCATAAGTAAGCTATGAACCTACAGAGTGTTGCATCATTCTCACACTGCCTCAAATAATGTTGATTTTACTTTCAACATTATTTTTTTCAATTTTAAAAAAATAATAATTAACTTTAGGACATAATCAATCATAGCTCTCTACAGCTTCATTTGTCTTTTAATCTAGTGCCCCCTCTGTTCATCTTGAGGTCTTCAACAAAATCCAGAGAGAGATATGCAGTGTGATAGGCCCTGATCTGGCATCTTGTGTACAGTTACTTTTTCACAAACGTGTTGTGGCTTCCCTCTGTCTTCTCTACAAATATTTTCATAGCAACTGCTCTGATGAGTTACTTTCTCTGGTACCCAAACTGCATGAATTTAAGCATGCTACTAGGTTGGCATCTTGGTCCCACCCTTTCACTGTTGAAATGGTTAAATGTAGCCATCTCTTCTACTCCAACAGTTTATCTCGCATTTCCTGACAGTGAAACTCCCTTCCTCTTACTTGCTTCCCTGATAGCTAAAATATTCAAATGTAACGTGAATTGACATCTTCTAATGCCTTGATTTTTATCCCGGCTCTTCTCTTTATCTTTTTCTCAAATACCCCCTCTTTACTCTTGCTCTCACTCACTCTCTATAACTCCTTGCATGCTAATGGCACTCCTGCCTTGTTTGAGATGATATGCTTAATATATATATATATATATATATGTGTATGGAAATTGCATTGCCATGATTGTTTTGGGGAAAGATGGAGAAATTTCCTTTTGCCTTTTCCACAATTTATCTTTCTGATAGCCAATCAAGTCTCTTCATTATGTGCCATGTCCCCTCAGGATGTAGGGAATCATGGCTCTCCACAACTTCTGTCCCTTGTATCTCTTAATAAACTTTATCTTTCTGTTATCATTTACTCAAGCTCACGACATATGTTATGCATTGTTTTCCTCTTGCCCTCTGTCCTGTGAGTATTAGATTTTACAAGCCCTCCTTCTTACTTTGCTATGAACCCATAGCTGGTGGGAGAGAAGACATGTATTCATGCCTTTTCCAAAGTAAATGCAATCTCTCTACACAGAATCTGAAATCAGCTGGCTGATTTCTTTTTGTGCCATTAGCTGATTGCCCTCTCAAGACTTCAACATCTTTTCCACATCCAATGTTGAACTCCAGGGGAATTGCTTTCTCCACAGCCTTGGAAAACATAAGAGGTACAGTTCAAACAGAAAAATGACAAAAGACAAATATTGTATTTTCAATTAAATTCTTGGAAACTAAGAGTAATAAAATAGTTTTTACTCAAATTCATAAATCGTAAGGCCATTATATAAAAGTGTAAACACATGATTTCCTTTTTGTATTATCAAAATATACTTTACAAGGAGGTGCTGAAAATATTTTAGTCTGATCAAGATGGGATTACAAAATAAATTCTTGTTTGATCAGATTTTGAGAAATGGGTCAAGCCAAGATCTTTTCAGCACCCCTTTTGTTATAATGTACAGATATAATACTTTTCAAAAGTTAAAATATTGTTTTTTTTATATATATATATATATATATGAATAAATTATACAATTATATATTTTGCAATAAATGTAATTATCACAAAAGAAGAAAGTGTTTGTGTTAAACAAAATGTATTTTTCAATGATTCTCTACAAATCTATATTTTCCGTTTTTTTTTTTTTTTTTTTTTTTTTTTTTTTTAATAATTTTAAAACAATATAGCAACAAAACTCAAAACTGAGATATCATTACCAGTAGTAGTATTGGTGCTACCAGCAACATTTGGCAGCCTCCAGAAAACACACAAAACAAAGTACAGAGGAACTGTGGTTCTTGAACATCTCACATGTCATACAAATTGGTTTTCGAACAGAAAATTCAAGATGAAAATGCCTTGGCTATCAATCAAAATTTTGGTCCTCAAACAACATAGCTGAACAGAGTTAACACGAACGGAATAATTTCTGAGTCGACCACCGTGTTGTATACATTTGTATGTTGTGGCATGCTTTTCTTTTCCAGCTTTATTGTACTGTGACTTTTTTCTCTACATTTATTCCTATTGGTTTCAGTTTACGAATTGCATTCAGGAACAAATTCATGAACCAAGGTTCCACTGTAGTCCATTTTGTATGTTTGTTTACATTAGATGATCTCGTTATCTGATTGTTCTTTATTGTGAGAGAAAATAAACAAACCCCAAAAATGTTTTCTTATGAAACAAGATTATTAAGTTGCAAATATATTGAATTTTGATAAGTCCTCTAAGTTTCATTTACTTTTTTTTGCTAAGCTGGTCATTTATTTTGTCTTTATATTCTAACAACATAAAGTTAAGAATTAATGTTAGCAAATAATTTTAATAATGACCTTTTATTATGTTACGAGACATACATAATCATTTATCTGATATCCTTAAGAACTATTTTGAAATTGGAAATTTTCTGGATATTGGAATATATCTGTGGATATCCTGTGGTTTTGGTTTAAAGTTTCAAAATGTTTAGGATACCATTGTTGCATATTTATTTACCTGTGTTATTTGGGTCAAACATGAGTTGAATCAGGTTGTGCTTACTGGAGCATCATCTTTGTCATGAGCTTTCATGTGTAGAAAAAAATAGTCTGGGAAGGTTTTGATGTAGAGTCATAGGTAAGAGATTACATACGTGTATAAATTAAATTTTTTGTAGCCTGTTGTTGTTTTTCTTTATTTGATTGTGTGTTTTTTTTTTTTTTTTTTCTTCTTGTAAGATACGTTTACTTTTAACAAGTTTTAAATGACAGATTATTCAGAACAACACAAACAGACCCAGACAATGAAACCTCAATAAATAAAGCTGACACTGACCTTTTGTGTATTTGATTTGTTTATTCTTCAAACATTGTTTGTGCAGGGAAGCAAGAATTACTGACAGTTAAGTAGATGAGAGAAATATTAAGGGCACCTCATAAAAAAAACAAAAAAACAATCCATTTATCACTAGTGTATATCTGAGAAACAAAACCTATAGTGAAATGGAGAGGAACTTTAGGCTAACAGGCTGAAGACTACAAATCAATTGATACAAAATGTCAGATTACATTTATGTTAAATTTTTAAATTCATGTATGTACATGTATTTAACATATTTGTTCATTTCTGCTTTTTATCCTTATTTTTTTTTTCTATTGTTTACTCAATATAAATACCCAAGAGCCACTCAATGTAGAGGGTTACAAAATGAGGTTGTTGTTTTAAAGGAATACAGAGATCAAGCAAGAATTATTATGAAGATATTCCCAGT